AACAGCCCGCCACACCCCCCCCCCCCCCCCCCCCCCCCCCGCAGCTACAGCCTACAGCCTCCTGACTCTTCCAGAGCCTCCAGGCCTGCTTGGAAGTGGCCAAGAGGATGTGAAGAGCCCAGGGGGTAGGACTAAGACGCAGCCTTAGCTTGGATCCCCAGCACCATGCAAACCAAGCGTGGTTGTATGACCTGTGAGCTCACACTTAGGAAATAGAGGCAGGAGGAGCAGGAATTCACGGTGTGTGACCTGTGATCTCACACTTAGGAGGTAGAGCAGGAGGAGCAGGAGTTCAGGGTCAGTCTTGGCTGCACCGTGAGATTCTGTCCCCAAAAACAAACCAGGAAGGAAAGGGCTGGTGCTCCTGGTCTGGGGGAGGGCCTCGCTGCTGCTTCTGTGTGGGAGGAGAGGCCCTAGATGGAGACGCGGGCAAGGCCATGCTGGTGAGCCCAGTCTTGATTTCAGATGCAGTAGGGAGCCATGGAGCATGGTTGAGCATGGTTGAGGTCCCTAATCATATTCTAGAATGTTCCATGCTAAACTCACTGATCAGTCTGCAGCACAAGCCTCTCCCTAGAAGTTCATCCCCATGAGGACAGAAATCTCTCCCTCTGTTTTGTTTTTATGAGCAATAGGAGCCATGAAGCTGGGCGTGGCGATGCACATCTTTAATCCCAGCACTCAGGAGGCAGAGGCAGGTGGATCTCTGTGAGTTCAAGGCCAGCCTGGTCTACAGAGTGAGCTCTAGGACAGCCAGTGAATATAAACAGGATACATAGTGAGATCCTGTCTCAAACAAGCAATAAAGAGGGGTAGGGGCATGGGAAGGGTTTTGTTCCCAGAAATACTATTTCAGGCACACTTACTATTACTGGCCCATTTGAGAGGAGAGAAGGGGCCCTAGTGGTCAGGGTGCCCTTATGCTCAGGATGGTCTCATTACGAAAGTGATATTGCAATGGCAGTTACAGGAGCGGAGGGCACGTGACAACCCAGGACAGTCACCAGGGTCCTCTCATTCCTAGGCAAGCTGAGATGGTCAATGTGTGAATGGCTTTCTCAGGAGGGAGCAGTCCAGAGTCTCTGAGGTTGCAGCGTCCAGGCTGCATTTGGTGGAGTGGGGGTTAGCCACGAACCCTTGTAGGTTCCTGTTCTAGGTGGTTCCGGGGTGCAGGTATGTGCTCAGTCATGTTTAGTGGTGAGAACAGGCTGTGCCTGTTCAGCTCCAGTGCCCACGGCAATCAGAGGAACAGACTGAGCTTATCGGGCTTTATCAGGTTTGTGGAGGAGTGGTCAGAGACTGTGGCAGAAAGTGGGGCACATCTCCTGAGGTTCACATGTCACATTCTGACCACAGAGTTTTGGTCAACCCGCACACACCGTCTCTGAATGGAACCGAAGGTGTTCTCCTCAAAACAGGCAGGGTTTTGAGCAGTGTTTAGGTTTCCCAGCTTGATGAAGGCTGGACATTGAACAGCACCTGAAAGAGAAAGAGAGGGGTGAGGAGAGGGAGAAAGAGAGAACTAGAGAAGACTAGAAAGGCCATTGCTGTGCCTCAGGAACGAGGGGGCGATGGTCTCATCCCATGCCTGGGGTGCTGATGGCTGATCTGTCTGTCTCCACAGCTTGCCCTCCCCCATCTGCGGAAGTGCAGAGGCAACATCATCAACATCTCCAGCCTGGTTGGGACCATCGGCCAGTCCCAGGCAGTCACCTACGTGGCCACCAAGGTAGGCCATTCCTCTCCTCCATGGCTCTTTCCTGGCTCCTTGGGCCTTGGCTTTGAGCCTGGAACTTCTTTTTTGTTTTGGTTGTTTTTCCCCTCAGAGGGGTTTCTCTGTGTAGCTTTGGAACCTGCCTATTCTGGAACTCTGTAGGCCAGGCTGGCTTCTAACTCACAGAGATCCACCTGCCTCTGCCTCCCAAGTGCTGGGATTAAAGGTGTGTGCTACCACCTCCCAGGTTTAACTAGCTCTTATAACTTAAATGAACCCGTTTCTATTAATCTATCTTCTCTTACCACACTTCTTTCTCGTCTCCTGGCATCTCTTGCATGCCTAGATTCTTTTCCTACTTCCTCTCTTTCTGCCCGGAAGTCCCACCTATGCTGCCTGCCTAACTACTGACCAATCACAGCAATATACCTTCACACAGAGTGTAAATATCCCACAACATTTCCCCCTGTTGTCTAAAAAGGAAAGGTTTTAGCTCTAACTCAGTAAAACTATGTAAAACAGGAACAATTATCAGCAAGAATTACATTCACAGTGTTTAGTCCATATGTACTTGGCAAGTTCAGAGAAAGTCTGTGTTAACTACCTTAGCGAGGCCAGAGTTTTATACCTAAACCATTTCCAATCTGTATTATCACTCTAAAAATAACATCTTCTTAGAAAAATCACTTAAGCTTTTATGTTTCTCAACCTTATAAATTTTATCTCTCATGTAAGTTCTTTCTGAATTTGGTAACAAGGAAAACTGTATGCTATTGAGTCTTCAGTCCCCATCAGAGACCTAAGAAGGGCATAATATTACCTGAGTAAACAGGAAGTGTGGTGCAGACAGAGACAGCTGGCTATCTGGACAGTCACCCAGTGTTCCTCTGTGGCATTGGGGCTTCCATCTTCAGTCTACAGATTTTCTGTGAAGCAGGAGTTTTAAAGGACTGTCCTACCTTGTCTTGGCAAAGCTCAGCAGCCACTTTCTTTTGTGTCTTTGTTGTCCAGTTTGGACAGCAAACTCTCAGCAGTCAAGGCAAGGGCAGTTTCTTGCCCAGTGGCTAACTTTGCCACAACAAAAGCAGATTCTATATGGAGGTTCTTCAATGCCCATCATCTTTTTTGAAAATTGGTGCTGCCAGGAGCAGATGTGTCTCACTACCATGAAGAGTCTTATTTAATTAAAATATTTTAAATGCCACATTCTGTAGAATCTGAAGTGTTTGAAGATCATCTATCTATGTAAATCATATCATATAACCTTGAGAATATATCTAATATGACTAAAAGTTTTATTATATTGCATTTCTTATCTTAAATAGTTTTTAATAATAGTCTTTACAGACTAGAACTATACTTTTTAAAATGAGTTCCATCAATATACAGAAATCCATACCAATGTAATATATTTGAGACTAGGGGTTGTTCAAAAGTTGACTCAGCAACCCACCCTTTTATCCATCATTTCTATATATAACCCCCCTTTTTCCCTTCAGAAAGGGATCTCTGAATCTAGTCTCCTTTGTTCAGCTTTTTTCCTGACCGTGACCTGAAGGTGTAAGTCACAAACAATCCCACACCAGTCTGGAATTATGATTAATAGAATGGTTATTTATTTAAGGGGGAAAAACTTACAGATCTCTGTCCCAGATAACAGCCCTCTGTGCAATCAGGAAGGGAGCCCAGTCGCTGGAAGCTGGGCCAGAAGCCGGAGAACGAGCGGAGGGAAGTTGCTGCTTTTTTAAAGAGAGAGAGACCACATCCCAATGGGCTGGTATCTCAGTGGCTATTGGCTGAAGGAGCGGAAGGAGCTCCAGCAACCATGACCAACAACAACTTGTACCTATCCCATGATGATAAACATCCATTATCCACTGAATGACCAATAATCATCCACCCCACCTCTCAGGAATGTGGGTGTCATGTTCTCTAGGCTGTTGTCTGGGGGCAATGGTATCTTTAGGGGATCCCAAGAAAATTGGGCTAGTGCTCAAGTTCTGGGATAGCTAGGTTTGGTGGGAAAATGTAAGGCTTATCTGAAGACTGGCTGGAGTAGTCTGTGAGGCTGGACCATCTCAGTTAGCAGCTTTGAAGTTGCCCTGGATGCAGAACTCGGAGAAAACTGCAGCAGAGGTGTTCTGAGAGCATGGATCACCTGAGCTACTTGTCTTTAGACAAGCTACGTGTATGCTCCTTTTTCTGAAGGCACAGACGTTTAAAGGTAACACACATACCTGCATTAACACAACTATGGAGTGTGCAGTGTGCACAGTTAGCTAGAGACTCTTTGTTTTATGTGTGAGTAGGTGAAAGGCATCTGTCAACTTTATAAGCCCTTTTGGACTGTATAGCTGAACCTCTGTCCATGCCATGGGAAAGATGAGTCATGAGCACTCTGTACCAACAAGATTCAGTCTCAGAGCTGTTCCCACAGTAGAAGGATCAGCATATACGTCACGTCACCTGTCTTGTAGTCTTTTCTGTCTTTTCCTCTCATGTTGGTAGCCAAGATCCTCAGGAGGTCTCCCTGCTCAAATCTGATCTCATTTAACTTTGAAGGAATCCATAGCTTTTCATTTCCTGTGGAAACAAAGGCGTAGCTCTCACCCAGTGCAGCACTTTTCTCGGCTTCCATTCTGAATCTAAGACATCCCTAAAGTACATAGGCTGGTTTAATCAGCAGGCCCTTCCCTACATAGTGTCTCTCAGCAGATGTTGTTTTCGTACATTCAGAAAATTCAAAGTCAGCAAAACGCCATACAGGCTCCAGATGCCCTGTGCATTCCCCATCTTCAGGTGGCTTATTTTTATTATTATTCTTTCAAGACTTTATTTTTAAATTATTCTTTTTTAAAGATTTATTAATTATGTATACAGCATCAGCCTGCATGTATTCCTGCAGGCCAGAAGAGGGCACCAGATCTCATCATAGATGGTTGTGAGCCACCATGTGGTTGCTGAAAATTGAACTAAGGACCTCTGGAAGAACAGTCAGTGCTCTTAACCTCTGAGCCATCTCTCAGCCCCTAAACTATTTCTTTCTATGACTGTTTATACCCATTTCTCTTCCTTCCTTCCTTCCTTCCTTCCTTCCTTCCTTCCTTCCTTCCTTCCTTCCTTCCTTCCTTCCAACATTTAAGCACATTTTAAAGCATTCTGTACCTGTTCAGAGTTTCTTTTTGGCCTGGACCCAGCTTTGCTAACTACCCACAACGTTCTCTGACCGCATAAGCCAAAGTTTAAACGGTTAGATATCAGCTAGGCCTCCAATACTGGGCTCTGGAGGCTGACTTGCCCCCTTGGTTCCCTGACCGCCTAACCTCACGCCAGCTGGTAAGGACAGGAGTCACATTTTCCACCCCGGCCCTGGGAAATTAATGAGCTTACTTTCCTTGTGGTTGTGCCCCACATTGAGTGTGTGTGTATATGCACTGGGGTTGTGCCCCACATTGAGGGTGTATGTATACACACTGGGCTTGTGCCATACACTGGGCGTGTGTGTATGAGCACTGGGGTTGTGCCCCACATTGAGGGTGTATGTATATGCACTGGGGTTGTGCCACACACTGGGTGTGTATATATACACACTGGGGTTGTGCCCCACATTTAAGGTGTATGTATATGCAATGGGGTTGTGCCCCACATTGGGTGTGTATGTATACGCACTGGGTGCCTTTCTGGTTCACACTGACTTTAGAACAGGGAATCTGATCCCCTGGAACTGGGCCACCATGTGGTGCTGGGAATGGAACCTGGTTCCCTACAAGAGCAGCCTGTGCTCTTAACTGCTGAGCCATCTCTCCAGCTCTGATTTTTTAAATTGCATTTTTTTTTTCGAGGCAGGGTTTCTCTGGAGCTTTGGATCCTTTCCTGGAACTAGCTCTGTAGCGGGCTGGCCTCAAACTCACAGAGATCCAAACTCACAGAGATCCGCCTGCCTCTGCCTCCTGAGTGCTGGGATTAAAGGCGTGCACCACCACCGCCCCGCTTTAAATTACATTTTTCTTTATTGCATGTGTCGATCTCTGTGTGTGTGTGCATGTCACAGCACACACATGTAGGTCAGAGGACGACGTAGAGGAGTTAGCTCTCTCCCTTCACCATGTGGGTACCAGGGATCAAACTCATATTGTCAGGCTGGGCAGCAAGTGCCTTTAATGCTCAGCCTGCCTGAAAGACCCTTCCTGATTCTGTTTGAACCAAAGTCTCACCCTGCAACCTGGGTTGGTATTGAGTTCATGGCAATCCACCTGTCTCAGCCACCCAAGTTCTGGGATCAACAGTATCAAAACCCATGAATGTCCACACTGCCTCCCTCAGTCAGTCCAGAGTTATCGCAGCCCTGTAACAAACTGGCGTGCACAGAGCCCATGTGCAGGGAATGTCTGCAAGATGCAAGACTAATCTAAAGCTTGCTGGCTCCTGGTGGAAGAGGAGGTTGGGAGGGACTCCATCCACAGAGACTTAACCCTTTCTGGTCTCTGCTTCTGCAGGGGGCAGTGACAGCCATGACGAAAGCCCTGGCCTTGGATGAGAGCAGATATGGTGTCCGTGTCAACTGGTGAGCTGATCAAACAGTCGGGGCAGCTGGGGATGCCAGGCCAGAGTTAGCACAAGTTTCTCTTCCTCTCTCCCTTCTCCAGCATCTCCCCAGGGAACATCTGGACTCCACTGTGGGAAGAGCTGGCGGCCTCCACCTCAGACCCCAGTGCCACCATCCTAGAAGGCACCTTGGCCCAGGTAGGAGCAGTTGAGAGCTGGGAGGTATGGATGTAACTGGGGAGAGGGTACAGATCAGACGGGCAGTCGGGGTCTTTCTCTCCTCCTCCTTCCTCTCTCGGAGCTTCATGTAATCCAGACCGGCTTGGCCCTTGATATGTAGCTGCACCCTTTCTGCTTCCCCTTCCTGAGTGCTGGAGTCACAGACACGTACCGGTTCTCATGTGTTCACACGGGCACACTGGCCGCCTGTCTCGCTCTAGCTCAGGCAGGCCTCTTCTGAGATGACAGGTGTGAACTAACTGCCTAAGGAAGACTACTCCTAATTTTTTCTCTCCCTTCCCTCCCCAGCCCCTGGGCCGTATGGGCCAGCCAGCTGAGGTGGGAGCTGCAGCTGTGTTCCTGGCCTCTGAAGCCACCTTCTGTACAGGGCTTGAGCTTCTTGTGACAGGGGGTGCAGAATTGGGGTATGGGCGCAAGTCTACTAGGAGCAGCCTCTTGGAAACCCCTAGTCTCCCACCCTAATTCCCACTGACTATTTCCTACCTATCTCTTTCCCTTTCCTTTCTGTTTTTGTGTAGTACTGGAGATTAAACCTAGGACTTTTTTTTTGTGCTAGACAGAGCTCCACCACTGAATGATTGGGGGTTCTAGGAAGGGGATCTACCACTGAGCCACACCCCAGTGCCTCACTGGGGGTTCTAGGCAGAGCTCCACCACTGAATGACACCGGGGTACCTCATTGGGGCTTCTAGGCAGGGCTCCACCACTGACTGTCAGTTCACAAAGAAACTCAGGACTTCTCCTCAGTCATACCTTGGTGTGATCATCATTTCATCCGCGAACCACAACCGCAGCCCCTCACTGGGGGATTCTAGGCAGGGGCTCTACCACCGAGCCACACCTCTGGAACTTTAGATCTTTACTGGGGGATTCTAGTCATATGCTCTACCACTGTCCCAAACTCCTGCTTCTCACTACAAGTTGCCCCTCCCTCAACTAGCATTTCCCCCCTCAAATTTTTAACTGTACCCCCTATCTCCCAGGGTTTGAAAGACCTGGATAAATCCAGACCCCCCCAAAATAGAGCCAAAAATCTAAGCAGGAAGAAAAGAGCCAAAAATCTAGGTTAGCCGGATCAGTAACTCTGTTTTAGGAACTAGCTGAAGATAAATTTAGATTATAATCTTGAGAAACAGGGAGTTACCCCCTGGTGATTATCACTGGTATTTTCGGGATTTTTCAATGATCCCTGGTATTTTTTTTTAATATTTATTTCTTTATTATGTGTACAGCATTCCTTCCATGTGTGCCCACAAGCCAGAAGGGGGCACCAGGTCTCATTATAGATGGCTGTGAGCCACCATGTGGTTGCTGGGAATTGAACTCAGGACCTCTGGAAGAGCAGTCAGTGCTCTTAACCACTGAGCCATCTCTCCAGCCCAATCCCTGGTATTTTTGAAATTTTCCAATGACGACCTCCCTACCCCCTTTGGATTACTGAGCTGTGGTTTCTTTCCTTAAATACCCCTTCTCCCAGCTACTCGGGGTCGAACTCTCTACCCCTGCGTGGGAAATGAGTTTCGGCCCAGTGCACTGGCTCCTGTTGTGTCAATAAACCTCGTGTGATTGCAGCATGGACGGTCTCTTGTGAGTTCCTGGAGGGTCCGGTCTTTCAGGTTCACCCCAACAACCTTAGACTCTATCCACTGACTATTCGTCCTGGTGTCATAAGGAAAACTTGTATCCAGAAAGGAAACATCATATTTATTTCCTGTTCTTTACCACAAGTTTGTCCACACTAGCTTTGTCTTCTTCCCAGCTACCTTTATGCCACGTGGGTATTTCTGACTCCAAAGAGACCTGGCAGCAGAAGCGAGTGGTCGCCAGGGAGCGCGGTTCTGCTTCACCTGGTGCTAATTAAAAGGCCCGCTGGGGAGGATAAATTAAGTGGTAATTGACAGATAATGGAGAAGACACAAAAGCGGCTGCTTTTATTCTCGGCGCTTGCGGGAGAGGAGTTTTGCGCTCTTTGCCAGCGCGATGGGAGGTGGTTTGGAGACAGGATCTTGAGTGCTGAGGCGGCGAGGAGTTGAGACATTTGGGTCAGAGGGAGGGGGCTGGGACTTGTAGCGCTAGGTTTGGGACTGAAGGACACTGCGGGGGTGCGCTGGGGAAAGAACAGGCCCTGGACACTCCCCAGGTTGGGCGCGGGGTGCAGCAGCTTCCCCACACCCCAGGTGAGGGGGTGGAACTGCTAGGCTGCTGTGGATTGGCCAAGGCAGGGGTGTGCGGCAATCACTGATTGGCTGTGGCGGGGGCGGTTGCTGCCGTGGGTTCCGCCGCTGGGCAGTTCGGAGATCTTAGGCGAGGAGGGAGGGTTTAGCGCGAGAGAGCGGGAGATTAGGGGCGGGAAGGTGGGGGTGGGTCGGGGGAAGCGGAAGGGTGGCATAGGCAAGGTCTGCGGGAGCGGGTGTGTGGTTTGGTTACTGCAGCCTGGGGCAGTCTGAAGAACAGTGTTGGGATTTGAGAGAGTTGGAGCTGTAGTCTGAGAATCTGCTGCAGAAGTACACAGACACGGGATTAACTATACACAGTTAGCCCGTGTGTGTGTGTGTGTGTGTGTGTGTGTGTGTGTGTGTGTGTGTGTGTGTAAGAGAGAGATTTCTGAGTGGGAAAAACCTAACCTCCTGTGCATAGTGTGTGACTTCTGATGGGAAAATCTTGTGTCAAGTGACCAAGAAGCACAATATGGAAGGACATTGCCACAGCTGGCTGGACAACACTGTAATCCCTGTACTTGCGAAACTGAGAGAATGGCAAGCTTGAAGAGTGAGATCCTGTATAAATGTATTGTGTGTGTATGTGTGTGTATTGTAATTACAAAGAACAAGCTATCCCCCACCCAATCCTCTTTCTACACGGTCCTGTTCTTTTGTTTCATTTGTTTGAAACCAGAGACTAGCCCTCTCACTTAGGATGCTCTCATGTTTGCAGCAAATCCCCTGCCTCAGCTTTCAGAGTGTTGGGATTGCAAGTAGGGGCCACCAGGCCCATTCTCAAATGTCCTTTCTCTGCACCCACAGCCATTTACAGTGCGCTTTTCCTTGTTATCCATGTACTGGTGACGGAAGGAGCTCACTGACCCCCGCCTCGGCGACTTCGCCAACAAAGATCCTCTGAAGATGCATGTTTTTGTTGTTTTATTTCTAGAAAATCTTTTCACGTTTTTATTTTATGCGTATGAGTGTATTGCCTGCATGCATGTAAGCTTACCATGTGCATGTCTCGTGTCTGTGGAGTTGAGAAGAGGTCCACAGATCCCTTGGACCTGGAGTTACAGTTGTGAGCCACTGTGTGGGTGCTGGGAACCAAACCCAGTGCTCCGGAAGAGCAGCCAGTGTTTCTGACTGAGCCCTCTTTCTTTTGACATTGTCTCACTATATAGCTCTGACTGGTCTGGAACTCATTAGGTGGACCAGGACGGGCTTGAACTCACGGAAATCCTCCTGCCTGTGCCTCCAAAGTGCTAGAGTTAAAGGCATACTCCATCACACCCAGCAATATAATTTTTCTAAAAAGGAGATGTTACTTCGGTGGTTAGAGCGCTTCCCTAACATACGTGAGGCCACGGGTTTAGTACCCAAGTACTGCAAAAGCAAACGGAGCCAAAGCTCGCTTGGCTGGGGCCGAGCAGGGCCGGGTGGAGGCCAAGAGGAGGCCAGGATGGAGCGAGTGCATGCCAGTTCTGGACTGTTCCCGCCTATGTTCTCTGCAGCAGACCTGGGTCCCCGAGGTCCTATACTCAGAAAGGCCTGGCTGAAGTGAGGCCCGCAGAGAGCAGCCATGTGCGGGAGGGGGGAGTGAGCAGGGCGGGGCCGGAATGCCTTTACCAGGCCGCGCCCCAGGCAGGCACAGTTACGGTCTGCACGGATCATGGCCGCAGCGGTTCTACGGCAGGTGGGTGCGTGGCTGACCAGCGTTGGGGCCTCTAGGGATCCCGATGGGGGGCACACTTCCGGATGGACCACCGGCGTGCAGCCTTTCCGACTGAGCGTCTTTCCTCTGTGCCTCGGGTTCCGCTACGGGACGCAGAGGCGGATGGGGCCCCTTGGAAAGCAGCACCGGCCTTTAACGGGCGGCAGCGCGGGTAGACACGGGTGGGGTGCGGGAGGTACCTGACGCGAGGATCCGTGGACCGGGAGGTCGGACGTGAGGAGCATGGAGGAGGGCATGGGAGAAGTACAGGATGGACTGGTTTTGAAGAAGTTTTGGCTGGGGCGTGCAGCCTGCGGGTTTTCAGGGCCGGTCCTCTTGTGTTCCTTTAGACGAGGGGCCCCTAACCTCGGGAACTTGGCGTATAACTAGCCACAGAGTCTTGGCTGGGAACTGGACCCAAGATCTTATTTCTTGGAACAAAGAGCACATAAAGACGTGTGTAGTGTCTGTCTGAGGCTCTGTACGTGGTTTTGTAATCTGTATGTCAAAATGACACAGATCTCCAGACAACAGTACCCAGTGCTTACAGAAGGTGCCAAGCAGCAGAGTTTTGGAGTCAAGATCTTAAGAAAACATGATTTACAAGTGAGGACACAACAGTTGGGCCATACATAACTTTGGGGAAATGTTTGCTGTTAGCTCTCAGTACAGACTTAGGAATTCCTGAACAGACCTGTACATCTCCCGGTTCTAGAGACAGACAGAAATGTTGTAGACAGACACTGTCTTGGGCTGTGACAGGATAGCAATTTAGGTTTTGATCGTGTAGTGGCCTTGGATGGTACAACTTTGCTATCTTGGGCCAGTCCCCGTTCAAATGGGACAGATCTGGGTTCTGAGGAAGAAGGCAGTTTTCAGAGCTAGGAGTGCCCAGTGGTGAGTGCCCACACGGGGAAATCCAGAGTAGAAGGGAGACATTGCTGGCTGGGGCCTGGCAAGGACTATCTTGCAGGGACTAGTTAGTCTAGATTGACATTGGAGCGGTTCTTGGGTCTGAAAGAAACAGCCCCGAGACTTGCCAAGGACAATCCTAGGCTGTAGAGGGAAAACAGCCCTATGTTAGGACAGCATGTGGCTGTGCCAGGGACAGTCCTGAGGTGACAGGTTGTAATACAGAGAGCACTGGATTTGTGCAAGTCTGATGGAAGTCCAGGATGCACTCAAAGCATCCCGGGGCTATGAGAAGACCTGTGCTGGGATTTGGTAGAGAGTGCAGGGACAGTTACCTGAGTCAGGACAGCACTGTACCGTGATCCTAGGTGGACGGAGCTGTGACAAGACCAAGACCAGCCCTGATCTTTGACAGACACCTGGGCTGTGTTGGGTTCAGCAGTTCAGAGCTTTCTGGGACATGAAGGGAACACCACCATGTCACACAGAACCCTGCCCCGCACCCTCCCCTATATTCACCTTTAATTTCTTTGCTTTGTCTTTCTTCCCTCCTTCCTTTCTTTTTTTCAAGACAGGGTTTCTCTGTAGCTTTGGAGCCTATCCTGGAACTAGCTCTTGTAGACCAGGCTGGCCCCAAACTCAGAGATCTGCCTGCCTCTGCCTCCCGAGGGCTGGGATTAAAGGCATGCGCCACCACAAGCTCCCTTTCAATTTCTTAACTCAGTTTAACCGTTTACACTTCATCCCTGTAGCCCACCTGCCATTTTAATGCCCCCTTCGGGCTTAAATCCCATAGTGTAGGCTTTCTTTGAGCCAAGAGAAGACTGCTGGCCTTTGAATTGCCTCAGGAAGGTGAAGGTGGCACTTCATTGTCACCAAGGCTCTGTGGCCAGTTCAGACATTATATCTGAACCAGGTCCGAGGCTATGTGATGTTTCTCTATCTGCTTTTTCCTGGATCTCTTTAGCTTGGTCCAGGCTCGAACTTAGATCTTCCTGCCTCAGCCTCCAGAGTCCTGTGACTATAGGTGTGTACCATCAAACACAGCTTAGAGGTTTTTTTTTTTTGGCCTGGCTCCCTGCTTCTCCCTCTTCCCCTAGTGTTGCCCACCTGCCCCGTTATGTTTTTATTTATTTGGTATGTGAATCTGTGTGGGGTCATGGTGCCTGTGTGGGGGTCAGGATAATGAGTCGGTTGGTTCTGTCCTTCAGTTGGCTACAAGTGGGTCCCGGGTATTAAATTCGGGTTCTCAGGCTGTGGACAGGTGGTGCCTCCATTTCTTTTCTCTTTCTTTTTTTTTCTTTTCTTTTTTTTTTTTTTTTTTTTTTTTTTTTTTTTTTTTTTTTTTTTTTGAAACAGGGTTTCTCTATGTATAGACCAGGCTGGCTTTGAACTCAGAGCTCTGCCTGTCTTTGTCTCTCCAGTGCAGGGAGTAAAGGTGTTTACCCCATATCTGATTCCATCTCATTATTATTAAAATAGAGTCTTATGGCCAGATGGTGGTGGTGCACGCCTTTAATCCCAGCACTCAGGAGGTAGAGGCAGGTGGATCTCTGTGAGTTCAAGGCTAGCCTGGTCTGCAAGAGCTAGTTCCAGGACAGCTAGGACTGTTACACAGAGAAACCCTGCCTCTAAAAAACAAAACACAAACAAACAAAAAGATAGGGTTTTATATAAACCAGGCTGGCCTCAATCTTGCTACAAATTCAAGGATGGCCTTGGATTGCTGACCTTCCTTTCTCTACCTCCCCGGTGCTAGGATTGCTGGGTATGTGTGCTGCCAGAGACAGAAACCCTAGGGCTCCAGCATCCCAGGCAAGCATTCTACCAACTGAATAACCCCAGCTCCATTTTTTTCACCCCTTCATCTCTGTATCTCTTTCCTGCATTGCTCAGCTTCTCCGGCTCACTGTATTTTTTTTTTTGTTGTTGTTGCCTCCATGCTGGCTGCCCTGCCCAGGGTGGCTTGTCTTTCCCCATACTATGAGTGTCTGGTGCATGGTGGCAGTGTTGGGCAAACTTCATGTCACCACCCTGAGACACAGGAGGGTTTGCCGCTCTCAGATCACCCAGAAGCCCTCAGTCGCCACACCGTGACCATGGGCTGGAGCTATGGGCACAGTTGGTAAATACTTGCTGCCTGATCATGAAAGCCTGAGTTTAATCCATGGAACCTGGTCGGTGGGGTGGGGGGAGTGCAGTGACTCCCTCTTAAAATATCATTGTTGGCAAGGCGGAGACTGGAGGGTCCCTGAGCCAAATTGGTAAACTCCAGAACACAATCATATTCCTTGTCAAAAAAACAGGATGGGGGGCTGGAGAGATGGCTCAGTGGTTAAGAGCACTGGCTGCTCTTCCAGAGGTCCTGAGTTCAATTCCCAGCAACCACATAATGGCTCACAACCATCTGTAATGAGATCTGGTGCCCTCTTCTGGCCCGCAGATGTACACGCAGGCAGAACACTGTGTACATAATAAATAAATAAATCTTTAAAAAAAAAAAAACAAAACAGGATGGGCTGTGGGGGGTGACAAACACCTTTGATCCCAGCACTCAGGAGGCAGAGGCTGGTGGATCTCAGAGTTCAAGGCCAGCCTGGTCAACAGCGAGTTTCAGAACAGCCAGGACTAAGTAGTAAGACCTTGTCTCAAAGCAAACAAACAAACAAAAAGCAGAATGGGGGGCTGGAGAGATGGCAGTGGCTAAGCACACTGCCTGCTCTTCCAGAGGACCCAGGTTCAACTCCCAGCACCCACATGGCAGCTCCCAGCTGTCTGTAACGCCAGTTCCATGAGATCTGATCCCCTCACACAGACACATAAAAACAAACAACCAACAAAAACCAGGCTGGACATCACCTGAGGAATGACATCTGAGTTTGGCCTCCGTACGCACGTCCACAGATGTCCATATGCACCTTCACATGGTGCACCACATGCACACACACACACACACACACAGAGTCATCTTCTCTGAGCCAGGTGTCACCACACACGCCTGTCATCCCAGCTCGTGCAGGGTCTAAGGCAGGAAAATCCTGACTTCAAGACTGGACTACAGAGTGAGTTTGAGGGCAGTAGGCACCTTAGTGAGACCCTGTCTCGACCCCTCCCCTCAAAAAAAATAGTACTTCCTGGCCCAGACTCATCCACATGACATCCAAGACTCACCTACTGACCGCTGACCTTTGCTGGATGCCCCTTCTTACCGGCCACCATCAGCTCTCCCAGCAGGAACAGGCTATTATCCTTCCTGTGTTCCTCAAACCCAGGACCCGGGTGCTTCTCTGTGGCCTGCAGAGAAAAGCATGAGGTCAGAAGTCAACAGGAAGGGGCCTCCTGTTACACAGCTAGTTCCATATACCATGCAGCTTCAGGGAGGGTCTGTAGGGATATGTGCCCTTCAGCCATTGACAGTGACAAGCACGGCGTGGCTGCCCATGTAAGGGCCTTCCAGCCGTGTGGCTGGGGCTGTAGCCATGCCAGCCAGTGACACATTCCTAAAGAGAAAGCACTGGGACCCCTCGCAGGAGGGAGGAGGGCTGGAATCTGGCACCTGTGGGCCTGAGGGAAGAAGATTAAAGAGGAGAACCACTGGGTCTGAGGGAGGAGAGCAGGAGTCTGGGGCCCTGGGTTTAATGGAGAAGCACATGGCCTTTACACCTAGGCCTGAGGGGGGAGGTTTGGGGTCTGCGCTGCTCAATCTGGGATAAGGAGGACCAATCCTTTTCTAACTCTCGTCAGATTTTGGACCCCCCAAGCCAGGAGTGTCCCCTTACCTGCTCACTGTCCCTGGTCGTTGTCTAAGCTGGTAACAAGCTGTGACCAAAGGTCTCTAGTAGAAGGCACGCCCCTGTCGACTTTGCCCTGCATGGTGGAGGGGCGGGAGCTGACTTTGCTCTTTCTGGGGATAGTCATCCCAGTGGGGACGTGGGCCGAGCACAGGGTCTGTCTAGAATGTGCTGGGACTGTGACAGAGCCAGCCTCATGGGCCTCCCCAGCCAGGGTGGCAGCCGGGTGCCAGGATGCCTGCTCTTCCTGGCTCTTGCCTTGCTCATATTTACTTCTCTTGTCATCCCAGGTCCAGGCCCCAAAACTTCTCCCTGTCTCCTGGTTTCTGTGTGGGCCCAGAAGATGTGTGTCTTCCAACTTCAAGGTAAAGGGGGCCCTGGGTGTAGGGGAGGAAGCCTGGGTCTGTCCGCTGTTCTGGAGGGAGGCCAGGTCTCATCTCTCCCTGGCTTAGTCGTCTGCTCCCAGGTGTTGTAAAGAGATAATGGCATCTCTCAGAAGGCTCGTGGAGCCTGGTCCTCTGTGGGGCCGAGGCCGGGGCCGTGGAAGCTCTCGTCTCTCAGGCTGGGGACTTCAGGCTGCTGAGCTGCTGTCTGGTTGTTGCTTCCTCTCAGGCTGCAGACCTCCAGGTTCAGGTGACCAGGGAGCCACAGAAGAAGCCAGGCCCCAGCCAGCCATTGCTGTTTGGAAAGACATTCACAGACCACATGCTGATGGTGGAGTGGACCAAGAAGACAGGCTGGAGCCGGCCAAGGATCCAGCCCTTCCAGAACCTCACGCTGCACCCGGCCTGTTCGGCCCTGCACTACTCTCTGCAGGTGGGACCGGCTGCCCCTGTCGGCCACCCTGCTGCCTCTCTGCCGTGCACCTGCCCGACTTCACCTCTCTGGGGCTTTGCATGCTCCGTCCTTCATGGGTCTGTCATCTTTTCCCGAGATCACCTGTGCTCTGGGACCTAGACTATGTGGCAGTCGCTTCCTGGGATGAGCAGATCTTGGCTTTGTTGGAACTCTGTGCTCTGAAAGCAAGTGGGGTTCCCCTGGCAAAGAAGAGGAGGGACAGCTCCTGCAGACAGAGAGGCTTGGTTGGCAGACACTGGAGTCTCCGTGTGGCCCTGGAGGCCTAGGATGCCATCAGGGCCACAGTGATGAGGACCTTTGGAGAAGTCTGAACAGGGACTGACCCAGCCTGGATATAATAAGACTGCCTCAGGCCCTGTGGGAAGTAATATAATTCCAGCACTCAGGAGGTTGAGGCAGGAGGCTAGCCAGGGCTATAGATGAGACCCTAAGCTGTTGTTGAAAGACTAGCGACCTGACTTCCTGTGGCACTCCTTCCGGAGCCTTGCCCATCTTTCTGCAGCACAGTTTCTGTTGACAGAGGCCTCCTTAGATGGTCCCCTGATGTCGGACATCTGGCTTCTTTTCATCCCTGAGACATGATAAGGAATGCTGCAATAATAGCCAATATCACTTTCTCTGAATGCAAGTATGTCTGCCCAGTTTCCAGTCCTAGTGAGTCAAAGGGCAGGTGTGCCATTTTGAGCAGTGTTACTAAACTATTCTCTGTAACGTGTATCAATTTCCACACTCACCGCCCCAGCCTGTTTCTCAGAAAGAAGCCTTGCCAAACTGCTCGAGTTCTTCCAGTCGCCGAAGAGCTTTTTTAAGTTCTCAGAATGATTTCCCCCTGATTGTGTGTGAAGTCAGGGATTGACATAGTGTCTTTCTCCATTGTTCTCCATCCTGGTTTTGAGACAGGGTCTTTTTTGTTTGTTTGTTTTTTGTATTCCAAACAGGTTTCTCTGTGTAGCTTTGGAGTCTGTCCTGGAACTTTCTTTGTAGACCAGGCTGGCCTCGAACTCACAGAGATCCACCTGTCTCTGCTTCCCAAGTGCTGGAATTAAAGGTGTGCGCCACCACTGCCCGGCCTATTTATTTTTATTTTATATGTATGAGTTTTTGCACACATAGAGTTGTGTCTGTGTATTGCTGTGCATGCAGTCCCTGCAGAGGCCAGAAGAGGGCACCAATCCGTTGGAGCTGGAGTTAGTGATTGTGAGTCTCCGTGGAGGGCCTAGAAATGGAACCTGGTTCCACTGGAAGAGCTGCCGAACTCTTAACCACTGGGACATTGTTCCAGCTCCCTAGGATAGACCTTAAAAACTATGCAGGAGAACTTTGTATATTAAATGAGCTTTTGTTTCCTTGCATGGGGTGATTTTGAGACAGGACCTCGCGCTGTGGGCCAGGCTCCCCCAACGGCTCCTCCTGCGTAGTTGAGTGAAAAGGCTTGACCTCCACGGCTGCCTTGCCTGTGCTCTCTGAAGTCTCTATGCCTTTGTCTCCGTCAGTCTGCCTTTCTCCGTCTCCATTTGTCTCTTGCTATCTGGATGCTGAGGGACCCAGCCCTGAGCACCCCTCCCCCACCTGTCCCCGTAGCTCTTTGAGGGCCTGAAAGCATACAAAGGCAGAGACCAGCAGGTACGCCTCTTCCGGCCGTGGCTCAACATGGACAGGATGCTACGTTCTGCAAGGCGCCTCTGCTTGCCAGTGAGTGTCCAGTCTGCCCTGGAAGGAGAGAGGGTAGAGGGTGGCTGAGCGAACCCGGAGCCCTGACTCCTACGGGATCCACCCAGGACTTTGACAAGCAGGAGCTGTTGGAGTGCATCCGCCGGCTCATTGAAGTGGACAAAGACTGGGTTCCCGACAGCCATGGAAGCAGCCTCTACGTGCGGCCCGTGCTGATCGGGAATGAGGTGGGCATTGCCGTGGGAGCTGCTGGTGTGGGGCCATTCACATCCGCATCGGCATCAGGGGAACGCACAGGCTGAGCCTGGACCCCAGGCTCTGAGGGAAGGGGCTGGGCCTAGAGCTCTGAGTCTAAGGGAGGAGGAGGCTGGAGTGTGGACCCTTGATCTGACGCTGTCCCTATGCCCATCATAGCCCTCGCTGGGTGTCGGCCTGGTCACACAAGCCCTCCTGTATGTCATTCTTTGCCCCGTGAGCTCCTACTTCCCTGGAGACTCCATGACCCCTGTCTCCCTCCTGGCTGACCCCACGTTCATCAGAGCCTGGATGGGTGGGGTCGGTGACTACAAGGTCGGGGGGTAAGTAGTTTCCCACATCCGTAAGTAGCTGTGCCGTGGCAGGGGTGGGGTGTGCTGTGGAAGGGTGAGCCGTACCCCACGTGCAGCCATCGTACTCCACATGCTTCTTGTTTGGGGCCGGGCCTGGTTCTGGCTTGGAGAGCCATTGTCACTGGCTCTGTGGTTGGGCCCTGGGCTTTGTGTCCTGTGTCTGACACTAACCGTGAAAGGAGCATGGGATGCATTCTCACGGCAAAGGGCTCAGAGATGGGAGGGTCAGCCAGAAGGTCGAGCCCCTCGAAACCTCTAGAAAGCAAGATTCCCTTAGCTCTTCCTTCTGTTCCCTGGTACCTGTGCTGGGTGGAATCTCCATTTATAGCTCCCTGCATTCCTCGGGCCTCAGTCCCTATGCGTCCCACCGTGCTGTGTTGCTGAAAGCCAGCAAAGGTGGCTGAGTCTTCTGAGGGCAGGTCAGGTGCTGGCTACTGGCATATTGGAATGAGGAAATGTGGCCACACAGGCAGGGTACTCAGGTCCTCTCAGAACCTCCTGAGGTCTTCCTGGTGTCAGGCCCTGTGGTAAGAAAGTGTGGCCACACAGGCAGGGTACTCAGGTCCTCTCAGAACCTCCTGAGGTCTTCCTGGTGTCGGGCCCTGTGTTGGCTGCAGCTGGTACACAGATAAGGCCAAGCCAGTCCCCCCCCCCCCCCCCCGAGGGCTGCTGGGAACTCAAGTGAGAGTTCAGAGTTCTGTGGAAGCTCCATGTAAGAGGTGACACTTCATTTGTGGTTTCTTGGCTATAGCGGTAGTAAGAGAAGCCAGGCATGGTGGCATATGGCCATGTATGCTATGTAGTCATTGCGCCTCAGTCGACTGAGGCAGGAGGACTATACAAGAAAGCTAGCAGGCAAGGATCAGCAGTAGAGCCCCTGCCTTGTATCCCCCAGAGAGGGGTTGGAGAGAGAGTTCAGCAATAGAGTATTTACCTAGCATGCGGGCAGTCCTGAGTTCAAACCCCGCTAACCTATCATTTTCTAACTCTGGGCCCTCGTAAATGGGCTGGCGGGACAGGATCACGATTGGCACAGGGGAGACAGACAAGACCAGTTTTCATACAAGGCTCAGAACTGGCTTGGGCTCCTTTCCTGAGACAGCAGGAGCACTGGGTGACGTAAGAGGTGAAGCCTGGGGTGGGTGACACACTGCAGGTCAAAACAGGACAGAAACCAGTGTGGGGGTTCACAGTGACAGCCCCAGCACCTGGGAGGTCAGGAATTCAAGACTGACTTCAGCTCATTGTGCTTTGGAGGCCAACTTCTGCTACCAGAGACCCTGGCCCCAGACCATCTGGGTGTGGTGACAGCCTTTAATCCTAGCGATGCAGAGGTCTGGTCTACAGAGTGAGTTCCAGGACAGCCAGGGATACACAGAGAAACCCTGCATCAAAATACACAAAACCAAAAAAGGAGAGTAGAGTTAAGTAAGCCAAACCACCGGCATCACCGTGCCTGTAGTTTCAGGACTTATTGGTGGGGAGAGGAAGGACTGAGAGGCAGGAAAGGGCCCCACAGGGCCCTAACTTTGACCCCAACTGCTAGCTAAGAATTCTGTCTTGTGGATGTGGGAGCCCTCCCAGGAGGGCTGTGGGCTGGGAAGGAGACTCCTCCTTGGCTGTGTTTGGGGAGTATGGAGGGTCTCTGCCCAGTCTGACCAGGCTGCCCTCTAGGAATTACGGGCCCACTGTGGCCCTGCAGCAAGAAGCCCAGAAGAAGGGCTGCGAGCAAGTCCTCTGGCTGTACGGGCCGGACCACCAGCTCACCGAGGTGGGCACCATGAACATCTTCGTCTACTGGACTCACAAGGACGGGGGTGAGCCTACCCATGACCCAACCCACACCCTGAATGATGTCCTGCCCAATTCCTACTGGGTTGCAAGGCCGCAGAGTCCTGGGCAGGTTGCTTCTAAGAGAAAGGGGAGGTCATTTAAGGGTGGGAGGCAGTGACACCCATCTGTCATCCCTGACTTAGTCCTGGAGCTGGCAACCCCCCCACTGGATGGCATCATCCTGCCAGGAGTGGTACGACAAAGCCTGCTGGACCTGGCTAGGACCTGGGTAAGGCCTGTGCGGCCCATGCCGTGCCCCTCTTCTCTGGGTCCGCCTGTGGACCTCTGTCTTCCCCAGCGGCCTTAGTGGGGCAGTGATGCTGGTCTGCAGCAGGGCGGGAGTCCCGGGACTGAGTTTCTGCCCCCTTGTTATGCAGGGTGAGTTCCGCGTGGCAGAGCGCAAGGTCACCATGGAGGAACTGAAGCGGGCGCTGGAGGAGGGCCGCGTGCGGGAAGTCTTTGGCTCAGGCACCGCTTGTCAGGTCTGCCCAGTGCATCAAATCCTGTACGAAGGCAAGGTGAGCCAGAGCTGCCAGGATAGGTGGGAGAGAAAGGGGGAGTGCCCATCCTCACGGCTTCTTTGCCTCAGCAACTCCACATTCCTACCATGGAGAACGGGCCGGAGCTCATCCTGCGCTTCCAGAAGGAGTTGAAGGCTATTCAGGTGAGCTCGGGATTGGCAACGCTGATAATGGGTCCTGCCCCCTCCTCCAATGCCTGTGGCCAGAAGCACGGGCATTTTCCGTGCTTCAGGAGACTTAGGCCCCTTTCCTCGAATCTCTGTGGCTCTGCGTCTGAAGAGAGAACCTCAGTTTTCATGAGTCTTGGGGTCATTGGCCACAAAAATGAGCCTCCCACAACTCCCTAGGGCCATGGGCTGCCCCTTTGGCGTGATAAGCCTTCCTCCCAAAAGTCTCTGGAGCATTCCCATTCTTGTGAGCCAAGAGCGCTTCCAAAAGACCTTTGGGCTCATTTCCCGATGAGCTGGACCCGAGGTGACTGGGTATCCTGGCTCCGTGTTGGCGCCTAGCACTCCATAGTTAGCTGCAAATGCCTTTTCCCAAGCGCCTTCAAGGCTGTGCAACTCCCTGCCTTGCTGTCCTTCTGGACTTATGGGCGGCCCTCAGGGTCTAGGACTACACTTCCCATAAGGTCCTGGGGCTCAGCTCTGTGAGCTGTGAGTTGCGACGTTCCGGGACCTGCTGGGAGTTTATAGTGCAGCTGCCTGAAAGCAGCAACTCGGTTGTCTGCAGTACGGTGCCAGTGCCCACGATTGGATGTTTCCGGTGTGACGCAGCCGGCTATGCCTTCACGGGTTGGATCCGCGGGTCTGTAGCATCCAATCCAGCGTCCTCGCCTCCCAAAGACTCATGAGCAGTGCAATAAAGGTCTGGCCGGACACCTGGGTCTCTGGCGCCCTCACGTGGCCGCTGTGCTCCAAAGCCTTAAGGGCGGGACCCGGACTATTTGAAGCCCGCCTCAAGTGTTGGGTCTCAGGGTTGAGCTCCCCAGCTGCTCCGAAGGGGGACCTTGGCATATTCTCTATCTCCGTTCTCAGGCCGGATCTCCGTGCTCTCCATGATGCATTTTCCCCTCTCTGTACGTGCTGCAATTTTGAAATAAAATGCCAAAGAACAAGACATTGTCATGTTCAAAGCGCCGCCCTGGGATCCTGGGGGTTCAGTACATTTCATCATCAGGGACCCAGCTTGGAGGCGTCTCTGACCTGAGGGTTCCTTCTGTCCTTTAGTATCAAAGCCCACTTACTGAATTCTCCCTGCACTCCTGTCTTGGGTGTAGCCTCACAGTAGTCTCAAGGGATCTCTCAGGATCTTTTCCCTTCTTGTAGGACATTGGGTGCCCAAGCTGTTAGAGCCCACTCCGGCACGAAGCAGTCTGGGATGGGCGCTGGGGCTGAAGAAATGTCAGATTAAGAGGAATAGAGACAGAAAACCTAGGACAGATTGAGTTTATTTTCAGCCAGCAGATATACTAATTCCAGTCAAAGGCAGAACAAAGAGCAGTAATGTCGGTGGGCGGCGGTGGCGCACACCTTTAATCCCAGCACTCACAGGAGACAGAGGCAGGCGGATCTCTGTGAGTTTGAGGTCAGTCTGGTCTACAAGAGCTAGTTCCAGGACAGGCTCCAAAAGCTACAGTGAAGCCCTGTCTTGAAAAATAAAAATAAAAAAAAAAAGAAAAAGAAAAAGAAAAGAACAGCTGACTGTCCTTGGGAGGAAGCTCAAGCGGGTGCGTTATCTTAACACAAGAATTCAGCTAGCAACAAGCAGCTGCTAATCACTAAGGAGGAGTGATTACACCAGCCCAGATCTTAGTAGAATACTGTGCTTTCTCGTGGGCAAAATGCTCCTTCCCCGGGCTAACGCAGTCATTACTCACAGCCCTCAAGTTTACTGGAAAAGGCAGAGCGAGCTTTGGGCTTTGACACAAATGACTTTTTAAAGTCAGTAATGGCTCCAGATGGAAACTGAGTCACACGTGGGATACCACTCTTCATGTGTCTCCCTCAGCCTGAACTCCCTGCCTGGTCTTCTGCCTGTCTCTATGCCCTAGCTTCCTCTTTGTCCTCCTGGCCTTCATCTGCTCTCATCTGACATCAAAAGCTGTATCTGTAATTGTGCCTGTCTCATATGCGTGTCTATTGCTGTGAGGAGACACGAGACACTGTGACCGCGTCAACTCTTATAAAGTAAAACATTTAATTGGGGCGACTTGCTTACAGAGGTTTAGTCCATTCTCATCATGGCAGGGAGCACGGTGGCCTGCAGGCAGACATGGCAGGCGGCACAGGGAGCACGGTGGCCTGTGGGAAGACATGGTGCTGGAGTGACAGCTGAGAGTGCTCCATCTTGCAAGTTTGGGGGTAGCCTGTGCATAGGACACCCCAAAGCCTGTTCCACAGTGACACCCTTGCTAGAGCAAGGCCACACCTGATAGGGTTCACAATAATGGGTTTCCCCACCAGTGCAGTAAGCCAGATCAAACAAACTGAAAAAGTAAAAGAACAGGTTTATTTGAGCAAACTCCCGGGTGAGTCCTCCAGTCCTAGAGATTGGGGCAGAGCAAGCTTGAACTAAAGCAGGGTTTATGCCCAAGGACATCAAAACTGATTGCTTTAGGCGGGGTCTTGTGCTGCAGGCAACTTCAGGGGGGCGGGGTTTCGGACCAAGCAGGAGTGAGCTGGTTCCAGCCAAACACTACCCACTCCAACAAGGCCATAGCTCCTAAAGTGCCATTCGCTATGAGATTATGGGACCAATCATATTCAAAACTCCCACATTCCACTCCTTGGCCCCCATAAGTTTGTAAGTATCCATAATGCAAAATGTCTTTAGTCCAACTTCAAAAGTCCCCATAGTCTATCACAGTCTCAACAATGTTTTAAAGTTCAAAGTCTCTTCTGAGACTTGTGCACTCTCTTAACTATAATCCCCCATAAAATCATAATTCAAAAACAGATCATACACTTTCAGCATATAATAGCACAAGATATGCATTATTTTTCCATGGTTCTATTGTTCTATTATCTATCTATCTATCTATCTATCTATCTATCTATCTATCTATCTATCTATCTATGTTTTTCGAGACAGGGTTTCTCTGTAGCTTTGGAGCCTGTCCTGGCACTAGCTCTTGTAGACAGACCAGGCTGGCCTTGAACTCACAGAGATCCGCCTGCCTCTGCCTCCCAAGTGCTGGGATTATTGTTCCAAAACATAGTGAGAAAATACTGGACCAAAGCAAAACTAAAACCCAGCTGGGTAAACTCCAAACTCGGCATCTCCGTGTCTGGTGTCAAAGCTCTCCAGATCTCCAACTCTGTTCAGCTTTGTTGATCACAACCCATTTCTTTCTCTTGGACTGGTTCCACTCCCTGTAAGCAGCTTCTCTTCAGCAGGTATCCCAGGACGCTGGCATCTCTAACATCTTGGGGTCATCAACGCAACCCTTCACAGCTTCAAACAGTGGCCTCTCTACTAGGTCTCCATTCAGGGACTCCCCTGACACATGCCTGGCCTCAGGGGCTCTATTCCATAACCCCTTTCTTCTCCCCTTAACTCTAAGCCCAGAGCCACGTGGCTGAAGCCACCAAGTTCTTTTGCTTGCTGGGGCTGGAACATGGCCCCTCATTCAATTTCATCTTCACCAGCTTTCTGTCTTCCACTGCCTAAGCCTGGCCGTCCTGAAACTTGCTCTGTAGACAAGGCTGGCCTCAAATTTAGAGATCCAGCAGCCTCTGCCTTCGGAGTGCTGGGATTGAAGGTGTGCGCCGACCAGAGCAGGCTCTAAGACTTTCTCTAGTTCCTTTCAGAAGCTGGAAATGTAGCTGGGTGGGATTTTGCCCTGAGGTCACCACTCCCTTTGTTCCACTTGTTAATCTGTCTATCTCCTGGAACACAGGATTTTGTTCTGATCCACATTTCAGTGTTCTTTTTCTTCTTAAATTTCTCATTTTGTAATTTGCCCTGCTCAGCTCGCTACTTTGCACTATAAGTCTTGAGTCTACACCAGGCTGTTTCGAGATTTCCTCTGCCAATGGAATTAATCCATAACTCTTCACTTTAGTCTAGGCAGATTCTTCAGACAAGGGCAGAAGGCAGCCACATTCTTCAAAATATTACCAGAATGATCTCTAGGCCACATATTAATATTCTCCTCTGATCCTCTTGAGCACCCCCCCCCCCAGCTCATCAGATCACACTCGGCACCGCTGTCTCCCATGCTCCTACTAGGATGGCCCACTATGCAGCGCTTAAAGCATTCCACTCTTTCCTAAGCCAAACTCCCAAAGTCCATATCCCTTCCAACAAAAGCACCGTCAGGCCCATCACAGCAATACCCCAGTCCCTGGTACCAACCTGTCTTGGTTAAGGTTTCTATTGCTGTGAAGAGACACCATGACCATGGCAACTCTTATAAAGGAAAACATTGAACTGTGGTGGCTTACAGTTCAGAGATTCAGTCCATTATCCTCACGGCCAGGGAGCATAGCAGCAGGCAGGCAGATGCAGTGCTGGAGTAGCAGCTGAGAGTCCTGCATCTTGCAGGTAACAGGAATGTAGTGATAAGGAGCGGCAGGCTATGTTCCTGGCACCCGGCCGCCCGCACAGCTAGCTTTATACCCGAAAATAATCACACGGAAACTGTATTCTTTTAAGCACTGCTTGGCCCATTATCTCTAGCCTCTTATTGGCTAGCTCTTACATATTGATCTAAGCCATTTCTAATAATCTGTATAGCCCACGAAGTGGCTTACCAGGGAAGATCTTAACCTGTGTCTGTCTGGAGTGGGAGAATCATGGCGACTGCCTGACTCAGCTTCTTTCTCCTAGCATTCTGTTCTGTTTACTCCTCTTACCTAATTTTCTGTCCTATCAGGCCAAGCAGTTTTCTTTATTAGTTAACCAATGAAAGCAACAGATAAGATGCAAGACCCACCTCCATCACAGGAAGTTGACTGAGAGTCAGTGGGCAGTAGCCCATTCCCACAGTGACACACTTGTTAGAACCAGGCCACACCCACTCCTACAAAGCCTAGCAGTGCCATTCCCTGTGAGATTAAGGGGCCACTTACATTCAGACTATGGCTGCCTCTCAGGGCTGTCACTCCTCCCGGAGTGGAGCAGCAAATAGACTGGAGGCGAGGAGCGAGGCCTGGATTCTCTGACTGTTGCAGGAGTTAGAAGGATCCCACCTTTGTTCCCACTCTGGCTCTTGTGATTCTTGGGTCCCCACCCTTGCCTCCTCACACATATAAGTAATAAGTATCACAGGAGCCTCTAGAGACAGAGCTTAATACAGACCTGGATTCAAATCCGGCCTCTTTGGGGGTTAGCTTTGATTTTGTTTTTGGGCATGCCCTTTTATTGCTGATCAAAGTTGCAGGAGAGAACGAGAGTCTGCGGCACCACTGGGCAGCCATGAGATCGGCATTCCAATGTTTCAGGGCACCAGACTGACCCATTGCCACGTCTTGTTCCCTTTTGCCAATTATTACTCAAGCAAAGGTTAAGGGTCAAGGAGACCCAAGGGAAAATCTGCAGGCCCCTGGGAAGCTTTCTTCCCTCCATCGAAACATCCAGAAAGACTATCTTCCTCCTTCCCTTACTGATAATATGGAATTGACTCACACCAAACCTGGTGGTGCCCTGAAAAGTCCCTCAACCCTCTATAAAAATTCCCGTTTCTGGCCAGCGGTGTGACTCACGCCTTTAATGCCAACACCAGGGAGGCAGAGGCGGGCCAGATCCACAGACTGAATTCCAGGACAGCCAGGGCTACACAGTGAAACTCTGTAGAAAAAGAAAGAAAGAAAGAAGCATGTCTTTGAGAGGAGCTGGGTGCAAGCCTTTGCTAAGTGCTCCTCTCCTCCCTCTTGGCTTCCGGTTCGTCAGTTCCACCATCAACACCTCGCGACTTTCACTGGTTCTTTCCCAAGGTTGTCTGTGCACCTGGCACGTTTTGGGGGTGGGGACATGTTCGTTCATCTAACAAATAAAATATTTCCTCATTTCTGGATTGCTTTGCTGTAAAAGCCAAACTAAAAGCCCACGGAAGGCATTTTCATCAGGTCGTTTGTGGTCTGACTTGCCGTCTTTGTTTCTCCTGAGGTCAGAGC